GTCTCTCTGGGCATCCATGCATCAGAGCCCTTCTCATAAGAGTCTGTGAGGGGTCCTGCCTGCTGTTGTCTCCATGTCACGAGGAGGAAGCCAACGCACAGAAAGCTTGCCGAACTTGCCCGGTTCTCAAGGCATATGCATGGGGCCCCACCCTGGGCCTCACCCTCCCCTCAGCTTTGGGTCCCTTCTTTATTGCTTCATCGCCAGCGGTGGACTTGTGCTTGCCGGGGAAGTCGTGCAGGACTGTTTGACGCTGCCGCCGCCCACCAGTCCCCACCTGGGTTAACCGCACAGAAGTGAAACCTATCAAAGGGAATGAGGTGTGACCCAGCTGCTGAGTCTCGGGAAACAAGCCCGCATTGAGCTGGTCTCAGTCTTCATTAAGGTTCCTTCTCCCTGCTCATTCCATGCCTAAGCATCCAGTGTACTGAGCAGGGATTTTTTTTTTTTTTTTTGAGACAAAATCTCACCAGGCTGGAGTGCTGTGGCATGATCTTGGGTCACTGCAACCTGTACCTCCCAGGATCAAGCGATTCTCTTGCCTCAGCCTCCCGAATAGCTTAGAGTATAGGTGTGCGCCACCATGCACAGCTAATTTTTGTATTTTTAGAGAGACGGGGTTTCACCATGTTGGCCAGGATGGTCTCGATCTCTTGACCTCTCGATCTGCCCACCTTGGCCTCCCAAAGTGCTGGGATTACAGGCATGAGCCACTGCTCCTGGCCTCTTGCTGGTGTTTTAAATAAAGGTTTGAAGGACGGTTGGGAACCATCAGTTTTTTTTTTTGTTTTGTGAGACTTGGTCTCGCTCTGTTGCCAGGCTAGAGTGAGTCAGGGCAGGCTGGAGTGCGGTGGTGGCGTGATCTTGGCTCACTGCAACTTCCACCTCCCGGGTTCAAGCAATTCTCCTGCCACAGCCTCCCGAGTGGCTGGGGTTACAGGCGTCTGCCACCAGGCCTAGCTAATTTTTTTTGTATTTTTAGTAGAGCCAGGGTTTCACCACATTGGCCAGGCTGGTCTCGAACTCCTGACCTTAGGTGATCCACCCACCTCGGCCTCCCACAGTGCTGGGATTACAGGCATGAGCCACTGTGCCTAGCTAGAACCATCAATTTTAACTCCAAGAAAAAGGCTGAGGTCAGATGCTGAGGCTGACTCAGGCCTGACTCCTGCTGCAAGAAAATGGATAAACCAACCAACCTGAAGTCAGAAGGAGTTCCTGCCGCTGATCTCTGATGGTGGAGACACCCAGCTAGCTCGGGAACCAGTCCCAAGCTCACTCAGGAGGTTTGCCAAGTTTTCTGAAACCGGGGAGGTTGGGGAGGTATTGTGGTGATTTGGGTCTGAAGACCCACTGCCTAGGCCCCAGGTGGGAGAAGCATTTCTGAGAATGTGGTGATATCCTGCTGGAGAGGGTGTTTTTTTGCTCTTCGTCCTCTATGTTCTGACAGGCGTGTTCATAGCTCAGGCATCTGTTCATTCATGCCCAGTCCTTCCATTTGTTCACACATCCCATATTAAGCGCTAATGTGGACCAGATCCCCTTTGGGCTCTGGGATGCAGCAGGGAGTGAGAGCTGCAGTTCCTTTCCTTACGGTTTGTACATTCTTAGAAACCAGTGAGTGAACAGCATGATTTCAGAAATTAACTGAGTGATACCATAGGCTGATGGGAGGTGGGGGCAACTTACAGTAAAATGAGTCAGGGCAGGCACAGCTGGGTTGACCCCTAAGAGATGTGCAAAGCCTGGGAAGATTGTTTCTGGCGTAGGGAGCAGCTGTTGCAAAGGCCCTGGGGTCTTTTTAGCCCGTGTGTTGGGAGCAAAAAGATGCTGTTATAGCTGAGTGCCACGAGGAAGAGGCCCTAGGAGGGGTCCTTCCACAGGATCATCCCCACGTGGGAAGAACCAGGTCCCCATGCCCTAGCGCACACACGAGGGGATCTGTTCACAGCAGCAGCAAACGTTTGGCACATGCTTCCTGTCCAAACACATCTGTAATGGGTGTCCTGGCTGTGGGTCGTACTTGTAGCGTGTTGTGCAAATGGGATATTTTCACATTCTACAGGCCATAGTAACCACATTCCTAATGGATTCTGGTTTGCTACTTCCAGAAAAGAAGGCTGCTCATCAAGCTTGATGGGCTGTCTGCTCCTATGGGAAGGACGCATGCCTGAGACCATTCTTTCCTGACTTGTGGCCCCATATGCTTGCCCTTCACTGGCTGGGCTTGTCACTCCTAAGCAGCCTTTTGACCCTGGGGTCTTCATCCTGTATTGTGCTTCTGCTTGACTCCGCAGGTTTGCCACCCAAGAAAGTGGCCTGCTGCTCTACCACGGCCGCTTCAATGAGGAGCATGACTTCATCACCCTGGAGATTGTAGACGAGCAAGTGCAGCTCACCTTCTCTGCAGGTGGAGCCTTTTCCCTAGGGAGGGCAGCTCTCAGCAATTCACAGATGCTTTGTGGGTTAAAACGACCCTCGCCCTGTGCAGCGCCTCCAAGCTGCTTACCTTTTCATCCTTCAGTTGTAGGTCTAGGAATCTCTTTGAAGAAATCCAGAATGCATATAAGTATGTTCATAACAGTGTTATTTGTAGTGTGGAAATGTGGACGATCTGGCTCATGTTTTCAGAAACCAAAGAACCATTAAATTAAGTGCGATACATCTCTAGATTAAAAATACTGATGCCGGCCGGGCACGGTGGCTCACGCCGGTAATCCCAACACTTTGGAAGGCTGAGGCGGGTGGATCACCTGTGGTCAGGAGTTCGAGACCAGCTTGGCCAACATGGTGAAACCCCATCTCTACTAAAAATACAAAACTTAGTCGGGCATCTTGGCGCATGCCTGTAGTCCCAGCTACTTGGGAGGCTGAGGCAGGAGAATCTCTTGAACCTGGGAGGCGGAGCTTGCAGTGAGCCGAGATCACGCCACTGCACTCCAGCCTGAGAGACAGTGAGACTCTGTCTCAAAAAATATATATGTTTTTATATATATTTATATGTTTTAATATATATTTGTATGTATTTATATATGTTTATGTATTTATGTTTGTTTATATACTCTTATGTTTATATGTTTATATATATGCACACACATATATGTATGTAGATACATTTTGACAAGGCTGGCCAGGCAAGATGGCTCTTGCCTGTAATCCTAGCACTTTGACAGGTTGAGGTGGGCAAATTGCTTGAGCCCAGAAGTTCAAGATCAGCCTGGGCCACATGGTGAGACCCCAGTCTCTTAAAAAAATATGTATATATATTGAGAAGGTCATTAAACATGTTATTCCAGTTGTTAGAAAAGAATATTTCTCTTGACTGCCAACAGGTGTGTATCTGTGTTTTTCTGGCACACATGACTTTTTTGAGACGAAGTCTCACTCTTTCACCCAGGCTGGAGTGCAGTGGTGCAATATTGGCTCATTGCAGCCTCCACCTCCCAGGTTTAAGCAGTTCTCCTGCCTCAGCCTCTTGAGTAGCTGGGAATACAGGCACATTTCACCATGCCTGGCTGATTTTTGTATTTTTAGTAGAGATGGGGTTTTACCATGTTGGCCAGGTTGGTCTTAAACTCCTAACCTCAAGTGATCCATCCACCTTGGCCTCCCAAACTGCTGGGATTACAGGCGTGAGCCACCATTCTTTGCCTGCCGCACGTTACTTTTAGGAGGAATTCTGCCGTCTTCTCTACCTGGAAGTTCACCAAGATAGCTCAGAGGTGCTTCTGTCTCTGGAACCCTGGCCTGTGTTAAATGACATGTGTAATGATGGAGGATGGAGCTTAGTTTTGTGTATGGAATAAAGAAACTGAGGTACCCGTAACAGCAGCCGACCACCGTGGGAGAGGTGGCCGCAGCCCTCCGCGCTTTGTGAGGTGAGATTAGGTTATTCACCTGACTGGGTTCCTTGACCCATGCCTCTGTTTCCAGAACTACTGCTGGTTCCTGGAGATGGCATTCCCTGCCTGGGACCTGGGACCAACCGCTCTGGTTGGGCCTGGGCACCACTTTGGTGCCCCTGAGGCTCCTTCCTCCCGGCTGCTGGTGACTCAGGGTTGTACCACAGAATCCTTGAGGGGACTCGCCTGCTCCAGTGTGGCAGGAGCTCGAGGGGTAGAAGTGACAAACATCCCGAAGCAGAGATGCACAAGAGACATGTCTGCAACCTCACGATGGGATGTGCTATGTGGTTTAAAAGTTGATAAAAACCTGAGATGACATTTATGTGATTAAGTGACTTAAAGGGGAATCGATTTTGATAATTTTGTCCATGCTGATGCAATGCATAGGAAAAGTGATTCGATCCCTGCCGCAGTGTAGGCATGACTGCTGCTAGTACAAACAGATGAGTTTTCCATGTTTACATTTTTTCGTATTTAGAAAAGAGGAACAAGGCCGCACGGGGTGGCTCACACCTGTAATCCCAGCAATTTTTTTTTTTTTTTTTTTTTTTTTGAGATGGAGTCTCGCTCTGTCATCCAGGCTGGAGTGCAGTGGCGCAGTTTCGGCTCACTGCAAGCTCCGCCTCCCGGGTTCACGCCATTCTCCCGCCTCAGCCTCCCGAGTAGCTGGGACTACAGGTGCCCGCCACCACACCTGGCTAATTTTTTTTTTGTATTTTTAGTAGAGACAGGGTTTCACCGTGTTAGCCAGGATGGTCTCGATCTCCTGACCTCGTGATCCGCCCGCCTTGGCCTCCCAAAGTGCTGGGATTACAGGCGTGAGCCACCGCGCCCGGCCAATCCCAGCAATTTATAGGAGGCTGAGGTGGGCAGATCATGAGGTCAGGAGTTCAAGACCAGACTGGCCAACATGGTGAAACCCCATCTCTACTAAAAATACAAAAATTAGCCAACCATGGTGTAATCACAGCTACTTGGGACACAGAAGCAGGAGAATTGGTTGAACTGGGGAGGCAGCGGTTGCAGTGTGCTGAGATCACACCACTGCCCTCCAGCCTGGGCAACAGAGCAAGACTCCATAAAAAAAAAAAAAAAAAAAAAAGAAAAGAGGAACAAGAATTACTTTTGTAACCAGAAAAGAAAATAGATGGAGTGGTGGGTGCCTCCCACCATGGTGTCATGGGGAGGGGAGGGAGGATGTGGCCATGTGCACCTGTCGTCTTGGCCACCCGAGGCCTCACCCCAATCCTTGGTCCCCAGTAGGCCTTGACAACCATTGCTTTCTCTCTGGGTCTCCCTCCCACCATGCAGGTGAGATGATAACGACTGTGGACCGAAGGTTCCTGGCAGTGTGAGTGACGGGCGGTGGCACTCGGTGCAGGTGCATGCGGCACTACAAGGTAAGATGGGCCCTACCACTTCCATCTAACCCCAGGGCGACTCAGGAAGGTGCCTTGGGGCCGGGCGTAGTGGCTCATGCCTGTAATCCCAGCACTTCGGGAGGCTCAGTTGGGTGGATCACCTGAGGTCAGGAGTTTGAGACCAGCCTGGCCAACATGATGAAAACCCAACTCTACTAATAATACAAAAATTAGCTGGGTGTGGTGGCGGGCACCTGCATTCCCAGCTACTCAAGAGGCTGAGGCAGGAGAATCACTTGAGCCTGGGAGGTGGCAAATGCAGTGGGCCAAGATCGCGCCCCTGCACTCCAGCCTGGGCAACAGAGCGAAACTCCTTAAAAAAAAAAGGAAGGCAACCTGGTAGGTTTTCTGTCTTAAGACATTCATGCTCTGAGATAGGTTTAAAGTGTGCTATTGGAAAAAGTGGTTTAGGAAATGCACATTTGTGGAGGGTCTGTGTTAATACACCTGAATTTTCTGCTGGGGGCATAGTCCCTCACAGAGCTCTGGGCCGGGGAGGCATACAGGGACCCTGGAGACCACCTGTGCCAAAGGAGGGACACAGAAAGGGCTTATTCCTTTGCAGCCACGTTGGCGAGAGTCTTTACTAGTGGCCGAAATTCCAGACTGTTTAGACACAGCTCTGTAGTCAAAACTGTCCACTCTACCTGGGTGTAACTGGAGAGCCAGAACAGTTTCCAAGGAAGTGCCGTGAAAGGCTGGGTGGTTTTGGTTTTACTTTATTTTGCTATTCCTTATCTTGTAAGGAAACACATCATTGGTTTTTGCATCAGAGTGCCGTGCTTTCCATTGCTGTGATTTTGCAAACCCCTTCTCTTGGGGAAGCTCCAGGGTGTGCCACCATTTGGTCATGGGCCTGTGTTGGTCTTATCAGCTGCTCCTGGAGCCTGGCCGTGTCCCCGTGTGCTTCCCCTTCCCAGGCTTCCACAAGGCCAGGGCCTAAGCTTGGCCAGCAGACGAGGGCTTCTCTGTCCTCTGTGAGAATTGAGCCAGTCCTGTGGAGTCAGCGTCTTCCTTCTTTCACAGCCAGTGTGCCTGGCTTTGACTCACCAGCAGTTGGGGTCCAGCCACTGGGCCTGAGGTCACAGCACCTCTTCCACCAGCTTTCACTCTCCTTTCCCTGCTGGCCACCGCCATGTCTCCGCCTCCCTAGCATGCCCCTCACATCTGCCTTGAATGTCCCATCATCTCCCAGGCATGCCATACAGACTCCAGGGTAGTGGTCACCTGCACACCGACCATGGTGGTTGTCCTCTGTCCAATCAGTGCTGGCCCAGGGCAGGTGGAGTTAGATAGCCTCACTTGGGATGAGAGTGCATGGAGGCTGGTGGGGTGTGTGAGCCGAGTGCTTGCTCGGGATGTGGGGGGATATTGAGAGAAGGCTGGCAGGTGCCTGGGCAGAGTCTAGGATGCCACACATTGGATGTCACCCCTCGTGGGGCCTGGCTAATGGTTGGAGAACCTTGTGTGCTTGACAGCAGCGTAGGGGATTGTGGGGTGAGGGGCTCAGGTCTGAGCAAGCGGAAGAGAGTGGGCCTCACAGGTGGATCTGTTTACCGCCATTGTCCTCCCATTGTCCATTTCAAAGACTGAGACTTTTCTTGACACAGTGCTGTCCTGTGGCTGTGTGGGGCAGTGCTAGCCAGTGCGAAGTGTGTTCACCTGGGCGAGCTGCGCGGGTGGCCCCTGTGTCCTGCCTGGCACAGACTACCTACTCTGACCCCCCTCTCCCCGCGGCCCTTCCTGTTGTGCCCTTCCAGCCTACTGGGGCTGGACACCAGAGCTCGACGCTCCCTGGGGTGGTGCTTCCGGAGGGCCGGGCCACAGGGGACCCTGGAGACAGTGCCCCATCGTCAGGGAAGCATAGGGCATAGGTGGTGCATTTTCCTTTCTGCTCCTATCAGAAAACCAGGTCCAGGGAGGAACGTTTTTTGCTGGGCATTGGGTGGGCAGGGGGAGGTTGAGTCAGCCTTGGTCTCCCCATCAGTGCCTGTCACCCCAGAATCATCATCTGCTGATTACAGAAGCAACAGTGTGTCCACAGTTGCAGAGGGACTGGCAGCCAGAACGCTGCTGTGGTCACTTCTGTCCACACTCGGCCCTGGCTCTGAACACAGTGTTCACTGCTCCGCCTGCCGCCACCCCCTTCCAGATGCTCAGTGGAGCAAAGTCCCCATGCAGGACGCCACCGGCATTGTCCCGGAGGAGAGGGACCTCATGTAGGAAGATAAACAGAGGGCGGTGGATTACCGGGGATCCACAGCTTCTGTGTCTAGGGCCAGGTCCTTTCAGCAGTGCCTGAGCAAAGCCCCCCCTTGCAGGATTAGGCCTTTCCTGTGAGCGCTACATGTTTCTCTCTCTTGCCTGAGGTTATTTGATGGAGGAAACCGACCAGCTTTTACTGTGTTTTTAGGCATCCATTAGGAGGTGTGACGGGGCCATGCACAAGGAATGTGTTAGCAGAGATTATGAGCATCTGCTGGTGGGAGAGACGGCACCGCTGTTCCATGACCTTGTCTCCGAGTGGAAGCTCTGACAAACCCAGGTGCAGAGGCCGCATCTGGAGTGCGCTTGAGTCGCAGGCAGGACCAGTCAGGTTTTGAGCAGTTTGGGGGCCTGGAGGGATGGCAGTGGCCGGTCTGAGGTCAGGAAGACTGTCTTCTGGGGGCTGGTTCCTCTCCTCTCTGGGCCTCCAATGTCCCGACCTCCGGCAGCCACCTTGGGGGTGACCTTGGGCCACCAGGGAACGTTTTGGGGAAGAGGACAGGCTCAGGGTGGGAGGGGACCTCCACAGGGAGGAGGTGTTGGGGTCAGACAATGAGGGGTGTGCAGGGCCATGGCCAGTTGAGAGGGGCTCAGGGCTGGGGCTACAAGGGTGGTCTCAAGGGCAGTGGGTAACAGCTGAGGGAACCTCCTGCACACACGTTCCCGCCTGCCTCCGCTCATGCAGAGGGTCACCCCCCACCCGGCCTGGCTGTGTCCTTTCCCCAGCGCGCTTTATTCACCTGCCGCGCCACCTCGCTGGTTTTGGTTTTTGTGTTTCGGGGGATGATTAAGAAAACATATTTGAAGAATGTCAGCATACAACAACAGTCCGGCAAGGGTGGAAACATGCTGGGGGCCGTGCTGCTGCTCACCCGCCTCTCTTCAGCCTCGCTCTCTGCCCCCCACCCTCCAGAGCAGCTGTGTCTCTGAGGCGTGGGCCACCTGCATTTTAGGTCTGAGTACGACCTCCTGGATGTCGCCTGTTGGAGTGACCTCCTGCACTGTGTCCATGCGTCACCTGCGGGCCTCGGGACCCTTCTCCTGTCTGCCAGTGCATGGTGACTGGGAGCTGCCAGGCTGGTGGAGCAGTCAGGGTCCCCATAGGAAGCAGATGGGGTGTTCCAGTGGGACCAGCCCTGGAAGGGTTATTTACAAAGGCCTGGGCAGGGCGTGGGGCATCATGAGGGGTGACGTGGGACCCAGAGCTGGAGGCAGTGTTGTCAGAGTTGCGACGGCCCGTTGTCCTAGAGCATCAAGGGAAAGGGCAGAATGGAGCCCAGAAAGAAGGGGTCACGGTCAGAAGCCATGGGAGAGGGGCACGGCCAGCCTGGGGCACTCCTCACACCCCTCGCCTCCCTCGCCCTATCCTCCCATCGGGCTCCCCACAGGGCAAAGCCACCTGAAGCCACGGGGCTGGGAACCTTCCCAGGCAGGGAGCAGGCAGAATCTATTTTTCCTTTTTGCTTGATGACATTGTAGACATTGTAGAAGGTTTATTAGTCTAATTCACCTTTAGCAAAACCAAAGGCTGCATTGGAGTCTGACATTTTTCCAGGAAGGTCTTCTCAAAGGCAGGCATTTGTGCATTTGTGTGGAGCTCTGCCAAGCACAGGTGAAACAACACAGCCCTCACTCCCACAATCACCCCGGGAGGTTTGGGGCTGCGTGGAGCATTTTCAATCATTGCTTCATCCCAGGCATTTTTTTTTTTTTTCTCCCCTCAAGGATATTTTGAAGGTATTTCCACCACTTGCAAAAGGGCAAACGTGTCTGACGGAAAACATTCTTCCCCCTTGAGATTTTGGTTTTGCCCTCATTAGATTTCAGTGTTTCTGCTCCCCTGTTGCCCTCGGCATCCTGGGTGTTTGGGAGGTTTGGGGAGAAACTTATTCCCTGTGGAGACAGAGCTGGGGAGGGGCTGTCTGGAAGGACAGGGACCCTCAGGGCTCCACTCAACAGACACTCCCAGACTTTGCTTCCCTGGGGCCGCCTGCAGGGATCACATTTAGACTCCACTTTGTTCCAGGAGGTCACAGCAGGGTCAGAGGCACAGACATGCCAACAAGATATTGAACCAGGGCCCTGAGGAAGCAAGGGTGGCTCGTGCCCACCTGGCCCAGGTATCTTCCAAAGCCAGCTGAGCCTGCCCAGAGCCTGCAGGACGATCTCCTGGCCAGCTGTGGAGGCAGGGACATGCAGGGGAGGTGGTGTCTGACATGGACAACAGGCAGTGTGGTTCTCTGGGTACTCTGAGCTATGAGGTGGGGTGCCAGGAGGCCCAGAGCTGCTGGGAGATTCTGCATGAAGCAGGAACGTGGGAGGTGGTGAGCAGCCACACCGGGATTCCCGACCTGGGCGCTGCTGCCCCTTGCAGGCGATGATCCTTCATTGTGAAACCTGTTCTGGGCAGTGTGCCTGGACTCTGACCACTAGACTTCAGCTGTGCTCCTAACCCAGTTTTGACAACCAAGAGGTCTGCATCATTGTCATGCCCCTGAGGTCGTGCCCTGGATAAGAACCACTGGGCTAACTCCGCTGAGAGGGAGTCCTCGTGGCTTCAGGTGGAGATGCGAGACCCTGCACCAGGGGTTGAGGCAGCAGGCTCTACAGGCGGCAGGTGGCCTTCAAGGGGCCCTCTGCGACCATCACCTGGCCAGGGTCAGTACTGTGTTGGCCGCAATCAACATGCTGGCCACGTGTGGCCAGACCACAGC